GGGGTGTGGCATACTGCGTAGCCACACGGGCCCTACAGGGCCCGTCCCGAACATTCAGCCTAAAAGCCTAAAACTTAGGGCTTACAGGCCCCGTTTGTTTCAGCCTGGATGCTAAAAAACGAGGGCATGCAGGCCCTACCCCGTTTCAGCCTATTTTTGAGTCTTTTCAGACCCAGAGTTTTCAGCCTGAAACGGAGGGCCATTTTCAGGCCCTCATTGTTTCGACCTGCCCCTAAGACTCAAGCACATAAACAGGGATGCGGAACAGGCCAGAAATAGCCTGTTCCTCACAAGTTTGAGCAGGAGCTGCAGCTGCAGCCCCTGCCTCCCTTCGGCAGGCTCAGGAGGCACACCCGGTAGTACATAGGAAGTTCCCATGCACTTCACGGGTAGGTAGTTCAGTAGGCACGGAGTAGTCTTCAGGATTCGGCCGCAGCACTCAGGAGGAGCGCTCTCAGGAGGAGCGCTGCAGTAGTCTTCAGCGCTAGGCTGTAGTTAGCGCTAGCTGTAGTCTTCGGCGTTGGGCGCCATAGCTGTAGTTGGTAGTCTTTAGCGTTGGGCGCTGGTAGGTGGTAGATCGTAGAGTGGGAGAGAGACTGGCGGAGGCCAGTGATACTTACCTGTGGCGCCATCGCTCCAGCTCCATCTTCGTGGCACCTGCATCAAGGCGCCAACTTCACAGGTTAGTACTGGACACAGAGAGAGAGAGAGAGAGAGTTCTTCTTCTTCCTCTTCTAAGTCCACCTTCTCTTCTCACCCTCCCGCCACCTGACTTCTCAGACTACGACAGAGAGATTGTGACTTGAGACTTGACGACATTGGATCCAGACTTGACATTTGGGATTCAGACATTTCGACGACAGACTATTTGGGCTTGTGCCGAAGACTTGGTGTTGACGACATTCCCATCTTCCCCCTCCTCTTCGTCTATGCCCTTCCTCTTCGTCTGTGTATGGTATGGGCTGGCGCACTCTTCCTGTGTGAAGCGCCAGGCCCATTTCACACCATGTAACGATGATGATGATGTATGTTCAGGGCTGCATTACAACATTGATTGTTCAGATCACTGGTATCTAAGTCTTCCGTTGTGCTATCTTATACTTTGTATTGAAAGGTCGGTTCTTGTTCTGGTCTGCACATTACAGTATGCAACATAACCCTTGTATGGTGAGAAGTCCGCCTGGATCTGCAGCACACGGAAGAAAAAGGATAAATCAGTATATCTTCCCAAGTTCTGATTGAAGATACGTTACCATTTTTCCGCCTGATAGATAATCTGACGCGGCCTCATGGGGACGAAGAAAAGGATATGCATCTTCCCATGATCTAGAGGAAAATACATTATTTTGGTGAGAGATTAGCGCTGCGCCGGTGCGCCGTAGACAACGGATATGTCAGTGCACCTTTTCACGTTCTAGCTCTAGACCCATTATGTCTCGCCACCTGTGTGAGGAATCGAGTGGTGCTGCGGCGCACAGAAAACAGGAATAGAACAGTGTATGCTGCTGTGTTCTAGTTGCAGATTCATCCCCACCTCCTTATTGGTGAGTAATTGAGTGTGGTTGTAGGGCGCAACAGAAAGCAAGGAAAAAGATAATGTGCCAGCCCACGTTCCAACGGGATATTCATACTTAACTCCCTCCCTTGGTATATAACGTGGCAAGGTTCATAGACCGCAGAAGACAAGGGATATGGCGGCGTGTCTGGCCATGTCCTAGTTGAGGATGAGTCCTCCATTTCGTCCGCTAATGTGGCTGCAGACCGTGGAAAGCACTGCCGGAGATTGTGTTCAGTGTATCTTTCCATGGTCTAGCTGAAAGTTCATTCTCATTTTTCCAGTGTATCTTTCCATGGTCTAGTTGGAAGTTCATTCTCATTTTCTCGCTTGTTGACTGAACGAACGGGCCGCGACGCACTCAATCTATGTGAGGAAAAGAAGTGTGAGAGTGGGACCGAGAGGGTTACAAAGGGTCTGAGTATTATCCAAACGAAGTGAATCGAGACGGGAGAAGTTGAGAGATCAGATGCGTCACACACAGACTTAGATCTGATCAGATGCGTCATACACAGACTCAGAGCTGATGCATTCTACACGCCCTTAGGAAGAGTTCGGAAAACTTTATCTGCTCTTGTTACCTTCACTGCTTTCAGCATATCGAACATCAAGCACGAGAAAAGGGGTGGGAAATACTCTCCATGCATAAAGAAGAGGGCTGACCGCCTCTTGCTTTGTTTGATTGCGGGTTGAATGGGAAGATCTGCCGAGACTGGACGGGTGCAGTGAAAAGCGGGTGGTTGCAGTGGATGACATGCACTTAAGGCGTATACAGTAACTGGCCAGCCTGCAAATGAGTGGAGTACAGCCAAGCAAAAGTAACGCGGTAGTAGGTTATCATCAATCACAAAGAGCTATCGGGTTGTGCAGCCAGTCAGTTGTTGTAAGCAATCCTCTGTGTCAACCATCAGGGACACTCCCGAGAGTTGGTTAGTTATTTGTTATTGATACTCCATGGAGATGGAGGCCTAGTGAATCTTCAAAAGAGAAAGAGAAAGCTTGCCTGACTCAAATTTGTGATAAATACAAGTTATTTCTGGTCTAGCTGGCAGATTGTCAGACCAGGGTCACATATCCACCAATAAGTAGCCAAACGGACGGTCAAGCTATACACTCAACCAACTTCACAATTGGAAGAGCGGGAAAATAAAATAAAGATTGTCAGAAAGGGACATGAAGGGGAAACCAGCATCATATTAATCTGATTAATCTGATAAAATTCTATTTAATGCCCAGGAGTTGAAGAGGACCCTTTGAAGTGGAGTCACGATGTGGTCTATTACGGTTTTCACACGAACTTCTGGAACAGACAAACTACGAAACATAACCCCAAGACTAGATTCCCAATCAAGGACCGGATACAGCAGGGCTAAAAAGGATAAGGAAACGCAAGTTTTCATCGTTCAGATTTTGTTTTTGCCAAGATTTGGACATAACGAAAAATTATTGCGCGCACAATTTCTGCCCACAACTGCTGTGATCGCTTGCCTGTATTGTACTCGAGCAGGGAAGCGAACAGATTGCCCCACCCCGTGTTGTGTGTGAACAGAGGCAACACAGAGCAACATGTTGTGTTTTTTATGAAGAGGATAAGGCAAAAATGCTCCCTGTGTTTTATCTGATTAGTGGTGATGCAGAGCTACACCCCTGAGCAGTATTCGTATAGTGCGCAGCATTTGAGCAGGGGAAATCAGGTTACAGCAGACCTCATCCAGTTTTCATTGAGATCAGTTCCTTCTCAACAAGTCTGGTTTAATCTCAGTGAAATCAGTTCAATATCAGGAAGTCCAGTCTACTTTGAGTGAGCCCGTTTCAGGTTTAGTGAAGACAATTTAATCGAAGTAATTTCATATCAGACTCAGTGATTTCAGTTTTATCTCAGCAAGTTCAATCTGGGCTCAATGATATCAGTGCAATCTCAGTAATTTCAGTTCGGATTCAGTGAAATTGATTCAGTCCTGGCAAGTTCAGTTCAATCTCGGAATTCAGATCTAAGTGAGGTTTTCAGTGTAAGTTTTAGTTCAGTGTCAGTCAATTCATCTCAGTTTCAATAAGCTTAGTTTGGAGGACTTATCTCAACAAATTCAATCCAGTTTCAGTAAGTTCTGTGAAATCAGTTTCACTTTCTCAGGTTTAATTCAGTTTTCAGTAAGTTCAGTTTAACCTTGGTGAGGTCAGTTTCATCTCAGCAAGTTCAGTTCAGCATTGATTTCGGATCTAAGTGTGGCTTTCAGGAAAAGCATCAACTTAGCTCTCAGTTCAGTCTCGGTGAACCTGATGCTACTGAGTTCGATCTTCAGTTTCAGTGAGCTCAGATTAAGTGAACCCAGTCGATGATCTCAGTTTAATCTCAGCCGGTTCCATTCTCAGGCGACGACGCTGGTCACAGCGGACAGTTCCGGTGACAACAGCGATAGTGTTGGCCACAGCGGGAGGTCCCGGTGGTAGCAGCGACGACGCTGGTCACGGCAGACAGTTCCGGTGACAGCAGCGATAGTGTTGACCACAGCGGGAGGTCCCGGTGGTAGCAGCAACGATGCTGGTCACAGCAGGCAATCTCGGTGACAGCGGCAATAGTGCTGGTCATAGCGGGCTCTCCTGGTGACAGCAGCAACTGTTATGTCACAGCAAGTGTTCTCGGTGACATCAATACTCAGCAAGACTGATCAGATGACAAGTGAGCAGCTTTAAAATTATCAAGCATCCGAGTACAGCAGGCTCAAGGCAAAAGTTTATTGGGCATGACAGATATTGAAAAGAGCATACTCAAGATTTAAGTACAGTCATCAGATACATACGGAGGAGACCTTCTCAAGATGTACTTGGACGTGGTGTCAGATGCTCTGAGAGATCGAGATTGCGGTTGAGAGTGAGAGGGGAAAGTGAGAGCACAGACACTGAGCACTGACCATGTCCTTGTCATTGTACTCTTGAGATGATATGAGCTCTCACTTTTCCCTCATTCATCTTGTCTTTGCCTTGAGTCAGTCAGTCTTGATTATCTCTTCTGGCATTGCTTGATGATTGTTTTCCTAGCTGATTGTGTCACAGTTCACAACCTCTAAATTGGCAAACTTGGCACATACATGGCCTGTTCAGTTTAATTTAAATTTATTACATGCATCATCATTGCTGTTCCGAATCACAATCAAAGATTTCTAAGACCGGGGATCGGCGAAGACCGCAATTGACGGGTCTCGCTCGAAGCCGGACGCACACAACAGGAAGGGATTTGCTTTATTTAAATTTATTTATTTATTGCAAAAGCACACAAAATCCTGCGTGACCTATTGGCTTTTCGGTCGCCAGAAGAGGCCCGACTGGAAAAAAAAAATGCGACAGCGTGCCTTGACAAGAAGCTCTTGCATCCGTCGAATGAAGACAAGGTGGTCCTCACTCTCGGTCACCCGTGGGATGATTGTGTCCAACGTAGAAGTGACTGGCGAGCCATGCTCGAACTCAAAGGGCGACATCCCAGGTATCCAGATGAATGGACAAGTTATAAGCCAACTCGACATCCAGCAACCGCTCAACCTAATCCTTTTGTTCGGGACGGATGAGAGTGTGAAGAAGAAGTTCTGCGGTTTGATGCGCCCTCTCCGTTCGGCCACTGGTTTGTTGGTGGCGGGTCGAGCTCGGCTTGAGAGATGAGCCCCATCGCTTGACGAGCGCCAACCAAAAATCGGACATGAACTGACTGTAGAGGTCGCAAACGATCTCCTTGGCATAACCCTCGGTACGAATCCCACCAGCGTAAGGAATCTCGACCAACTTCGGTGCGTTGGCGTGATAGCGGCAAGGCAAAAACATGGCGAACTTGGTGAGTAGATCGAACACCGTGATAATCCCATCTACACCAGTCTTGTGCTTGGGAACGACCCAATGATGTCCATGGCAATCAATTCCCGTCGTCCTAAGGGGACCGGCAATGGTTGCAACTCGCCGAATGGACGATGATTGTGTGATTTGCAACGTGAGCAAACCTCGCATGACTCGCAATAGCATGTGACATCGCCGAGAAGGTCGGCCACCAAAAGCGCTCACGAAGTCGGCTAATCGTACGATTGACTCCAAAGTGCCTAGTGGCGGGAGCAACGTGGAACTCGCCAAGGAGCCGCATACGCAAGTGTGGACCACTTGGCATGCAAAGAAGATCCTTCCCCTGTGAGTGGACTAGCAAATAGCCCTCTTGGGTCCCATAGTGCGATGGCGCAGGATTTGGAGCAATTCGCATACTTGTCACGAAACTCTGGGTCGACTTGGTAGTCGCGGATGAAACTGTCCCGCATGTCGTCGTCAAGCTCGAACGTCGAGTAGACCGTGGTACAAAGCTTCGGACGTCGTGAATCAGCGTCCGCAAAACAAATTGACTTTCCCGAAATATGATTAGGGAAGAAGTCAAATTGGTCGATGAAAGCCATCCAACGGGCGATGATGCTATTGACCGTGTCTTGGGTCTTGCAGAAGACCAACGGATTGTTATTCATAACCCATTGGAATTGACTACGACTGAGAAGAAAATGTTGCCACCGCTTGAGCGCGTGTACGAAATAACTCCTTTCGTGCGTCTTCAATCGAATACACGACTGACATTTTCTTACTAAAGTGTTTGACCGGGTGCCAGTCCACGCCATCATGTTGCTCGAGGATGTCACCAATGCCGTAGCCGAACGCATCGGTAGTGACACACGTCGGCAAAAGCGGGTCGAGATGTGTAAAACCTCCGCTGATAGCAAGGCGACTTTGAGGGCTAAAAAGGAAGCCCACGCATCGTCACCGAAGTCGTACAGTTGATCCTCGCATTGAAGCTTGGTCAAATTGGCCAAGATATTCGAATAGCTTTTCATAAAGCGTTGGTAGTACCCGGCTAGGCCGAGAAACGAACGGACTTTCGTAACGTTCTTCAGTTCCTACAACTCTTGGACGACTTGGATTTTGTCCGATAACGGACTAATGCCCTCCAGTGTGACAAAATGGCCCAAGCACTCCAACTCTTGCGGTACGAATTCGCATTTGTCGTGGTTGGCTTTGTACTTGGCGTGACGAAGTGTCTCCAACACGCGTCGAAGATGCTCGAGATGGCCCTCCAAGGTCCGACTATAGATGAGAATGTCGTCCAAGTAGACCAGTACAAACCGGTTCAACATCGCACGGTACTCGTTGGTCATTGCCCCTTGAAAAGTCGTCAGGGCATTGGTGAGGCCAAAAGGCATGACAACCAACTCAAAACGCCCATACCGAGTCTTGAACGCAGATTTGTAGTGATCTTGCGGGCGTATCGAAATTTGTTGATAGCCCGACTTCAAGTCTGATTTGGAAAATACTTCGCGCCGCCCAAACGCTCAAGAAGATTGTCAATACGAGGAAGAGGCCCTGCATTCTTGACAGTTTGCATGTTAAGCTCACAAAAATCGATGCACAAGTGAAGATTCTTGTTTTTCTTCCATACGAAGAGAACTGGCGCACCATATGGTGAGCTACTAGGGCGGATCCAACCCTTTGCCAACAAGTCATCGAGTTGCGTGCGGAGAACCGCGAGCTCGTCCTTGCTCATGCGATAGATGCATCCTTTCGGCGGCACAGCACTGGCGTAAAAAATGATATCATGGGAGATCAACCGATCCGGCTCCACACCGGTAGGAGACTCGAAAATGTCGGCGAACTCGTCAAGCAACCGCACCAAGCGGGTGTCAGAAGAGAAGTCCGTAGGTGAAGAGTCGGTTGCTGCGATGGTCCTTAAAAAACATAGGCCAATCTCATAGGTCCGCTCGTAAGCGCAAGTGGACCGGAAAGACTTGCCCATCACAACTTGGCTTCATATTGAAGGGTGCGGAAGAGGGATGGTACACGGTACCTCAGCGCCAAAGGCGTTGCAAACGGTAAGCGTTCGCCGATGGAAGTTGACCGTATGGTCTGCACTACGAGCCAAGGCATCCCCAAAATAATGTAAAAGTATGTGTCCCAAACGTCAAACACAACCGGCTTGCATGCATGAGGTGCGAAATAGACCGACACAACTTCGATGTAGCGATCAAAAAGTTGTTGCGTCCGACCGTCCTCCATCTTGACCGCCGTAGAATGTGACTTCCTTCTAACTTGTGCACCAAGGTCAGCCCTTTGTATAAAGAACTGCCTCAGGAAATTGTGAGTCCCGCCACTATCCAGCAAAGCGTTGCAGGACGGTTGCCCAACTTGGATGCGGACGTAAAGGAGCGGTGCGTTGCTGTCATCGTATCGCTGTGTGCGAAACTTGTGGGCCACCTTGGTAGTACAGGCAAGGAGGTCCCCCACCGGAGCTTTGTCATCCGTCGGCGAAGTTGGTGGTGCATAGAAGGACAAATACGTCTGGAGATGGGCGCATAGTGCTGCGCATTGCGCATTGCCGTCCTCCATCTTGACCGTTGTAGGATGCGACTTCCTTCGAACTTGTGCGCCAAGGTCGTCCCTTTGTATAAAGGACTGGCTCAAGAAATTGTGAGTCCCGCCACTATCCAACAAAGCGTTGCAGGATGGTTGCCCAACTTGGATGCGGACGTAAAGGAGCGGTGCGTTGTTGTCATCGTATCGCTGTGTGCGAAACTTGTGGGCCACCTTGGTAGTATAGGCAAGGAGGTCCCCCACCGGAGCTTCGTCATGGTGGTGCATAGAAGGACAAATACGTATGGAGATGGGCACATAGTGTTGCGCATTACGGTCCCTGTAAGCGGCCCGTGGAAGGGAGCAGAAGCCATGCAAAATCCCCGGGCGACAACGGGTCCAAGACCTCTACGTTGAACTCGAGCGTTGAACCCCTTGAAGAACCACTTGAAGACGATAAATTGTCGCCGCTTCCGGACGGAGAAGAAACCGCACACACACCTTGTCCTTGAGCTTGAGATCCCAGCGACGGAACGATTCGAGCAGCGAAGTCCTCGACAGAATGAAGAACGGGAGGACTTACGACTTCCGCATGTGTCTCGGAACTAAGGGAGGTCGCTCACGAACCAACTGGTTCCAAAGGCGTCGAGAATGCAGCCGTATCACTCTCGGCGGTGATCACTTCCCGAAAGGGACTTTCCCTTGGCCTTTGAAGTACAGGGGAGTGTTTCGTGAAGGTCCCTGTTGCACCATAAACAATACCGGTATCTCGTGCAGATCTTGTAGACCCCTCCGAGAGACCGCAATGTGACCAAGGTTCTTGAGTTGTTTGTCCGGGCCCAGGGGATGAAGCGGTGTTTGCCTTCAATCTGCCGCGTCCTCGACCTTTGGCGGGGCGGGCACCATCCCGGACGGCTGCTAGTCTTTTCCCCTCGTCTGACAGAGCAGCCTCGTTTGAAAATTTGGTCGGCATTCTCGCTGCGACCACGACCACTTCCGGCCGATGCGGATCTCTGAGAAGGCCTGCAGAAGACGAACGGCCAGCATTGCGGGCCTCCGTGTTCGTCACAATATCTGCGAGGCCTGGTTGAAGAGTTCCTTACTTGTGGTGAGAGTCTCCGCAACTTGCGTCAATGGGTTCTGCAACGTCGGGCAGGACCTCGTGGTGAGAAGTGCTTGATGCCCGAAAAGGTGAGCAACAAGTCGGGCGTGGATGCCCAGCGTCAGGACTTGATGACGAAGTGCATGACATTGATGTAACAGACCAAAATAGGACAGCAAATACATAAATACATAAATAAATAAATGTTGTCTCGAATCGAAACCTGTGGCCTAAGGGTCATCCGTGGGCCTCCAGGACGCCCGTCCGAAGGGCGCGCGGCCTGGGGCCCCCCAGCAACTGTCGGGCCCCCAAAATGGGGCCCGTGTGCAGACTCAGCATGTAACATCAGCACCCCCCCTCCCTCTCCCTCAGTGAAAAGAACAACCCCCCATTGCCAGTTATCAAATTCTAGTCCTTCATCCACCACCGAAAAAAAAAGCATGCCTCCCTCTTGTTGATCGTCGTAATTTATGAATGCCAAATGCACAACTTAGGGCGTTCTCACTCAAGCACTTTCTGAAACGTATCCAACGGCGATTTCGACTGGACCTGGATGCATCTGACCGCAATCACATCCAGAGCTCAGTTCAAAAAGTCCTGGAGCTTCCACATCTCATAATGCAGCTCAGATGAGATTCAAAAGCAGTAAAGACATCATAACACAGGGTACATGTGCAGAATGGGTATGAGTTGTGCATTATGACATTCTGTGAGTGACAGAACAGTACATCCCTTTGTGCAGCAAGGAGGCAAACAGTCAGTGATACAGTCAAATTCCCCTAGAAAAAGTAAAGAGGAAAGAGACAGTTGGAAGAGAGGATCACTTCGTTGCATACCTCAGAGTCTCTATATTTGTAAGCGCCCATAACCGCTCAGCAGATGCTCCATAGTAACCTACCCTAGAGACCGATGTCTCAAGATTGAGTACCTTAATGAATAAAACACAGGAAAAGAAACACAAAGAAGCAGAGAAAAACAGAGAAGAACGAGTGATACAATTGTTTGTGTAAATGCAAATGATAATAATTGGGGGGAAAAAAAAGACACTCATAATACAGGCTAGAAGACATCCACAAAGCAAGACATGTCAATAGGCCGCTGCTCAGAACAAAATAGAAACAAATTGGGTGGAGGGAGGGAGGGAGACGGAAGGGGGGAGAGAAAAGAGAGAGAAAGGAGCGAATGGGATGCGTAAGAATGAGGGATTAAACATCTCAGATACAAAATGTTGGAGCAGAGGAAACTGTTTCTTTTCATTTGTGAGGTTGGTGTTTCTTTTCATTTGTGAGGTTGGCGCAGAGGGCATTAACAAAAAAAAAAGGTTGCCGCAGAAGGCATTGAGTACACTGCAAACCTACCGGTTCAATACCATCCAGTTTGGGAGGAAATGTTTTCGGTGGGACTGACCCTCTGAAAAGTTATAGACAAAATCGCTCAGAGTAACAAGAAAGAGGTCGCAAAAACATGAGGCATTTTCATTCACCATGCTCGATGTATCGACAGGGAAAGTTCCAAACACATTCCAGTGACCACCACGGTTCCCCCGGACCACATTGTTCATTCTGCCATACTGCCAAAATCTACAAAAAGTCTTGAGCTTGCCCCACTTCAGTTGCCCGTTTCGAGCTCTAGCGACTACAGAGGCGGCTGTCAAACCGTGGGGTCAGTACCTTACGGGCTGCCCCCATGGGCACCAAGCGCTCCTTGCAAGGTCCCTTGAGGATGTGCTGTACTGTTGCGTCATAGCAGCTATCCGGATTATGTTATGTCACAAGTCCTCTCTCTCTCTCTCTCTCTCTCTCTCTCTCTCTCTCTCTCTCTCTCTCTCTCTCTCTCTCTCTGTGTGTGTGTGTGTGTGTGTCTTGTCATGTTCGCTATACACAATTCCACGAAACAAGCATGACTGTGCCAGACTGTTTCGTCGGACTTTTACGGACTCGTCAGGAGGTTGCAAACCACCAGTACATCCGAGGCTAAATGTATGAGCTTAATTTGATTTTTGCCGACCGGTACCACCGCTTGGAAAAGTGAAGGTGGTATGAAGAGGGGGCATACTCTCCACAAAGCCAGCACGCGCACCTGGCCCAATTCGAGTGCCAGATACAGTTGGTTTCAAAGAGATACTGGGCTGGTGGGGCCACTCAGCAACTGCGAAGAAGAGAAAAGATAATACAGAGGGAAGACAAAAAAGAACTCACACTGACACAATAGCAGTCAGATACATCCCAGTCAGACAGTTCTTCCAGTGCTGGTCTAAGTATACCCTCAAAAGAAGGCGCCTGTATCTATCCCAAAATGGGCGAAGATTCATGGGAAAAAAAGAAATACATAACTCCGCTAATTTCAGACTAGGGGACCTGTTGCAGCTACGCCCGCAATAAAGAAGGAATGTTTGCCAAGAAAAACAAAGACGCTGATGGACTCTCTCTCTCTCTCTCTCTCTCTCTCTCTCTCTCTCTCTCTCTCTCTCTCTGTGGTGCGCACACACACTTGCGGATTTTCCCTTTCTTAGAGTTTTCATTAATGGTCCTGATGGACCCTGGATCAAAAA